GACGTGCCTGGAACACCTCCCTAGGGAGGCGCCCAGGTGGCATCCTAACTAGGTGCCCGAACCACCTCAACTGGCTCCTTTCGACGCGAAGGAGGAGCGGCTCAACTCCGAGTCCCTCCCTGATGACCGAACTTCTCACCTTATCCCTAAGGGAGACACCAGCCACCCTGCGGAGAAAACCCATCTCGGCCGCTTGTACCCGCGATCTCGTTCTTTCGGTCATGACCCATCCTTCATGACCATAGGTGAGGGTAGGAACGAAAATGGCGCGGTAGACAGAGAGCTTTGCCTTCTGGCTCAGCTCCCTTTTCGTCACAACGGTGCGGTAAAGAGACTGCAGTACCGCTCCCGCTGCTCCGATTCTCCGACCCATCTCACGCTCCATTGTTCCCTCACTCGAGAACAAGACCCCGAGATACTTGAACTCCTTCACTTGGGGTAAGGACTCATTCCCTACTTGGAGTGGACAGTCCATCGGTTTCCTGCTGAGAAATTAATTAACTTAACATAAATGTCGAGACACCACACCGAGGTCCAGTTCAGCTAAACTTCAAGACTTTGTTTGGAATTGTACGAAAGCTATAGTTCTGGGACAACACTTTATCCATGCAAGCTTAACAATTTAAAAAACATTGCTTCTTTTGTTAAAGGAATAGTATGACATTTTGAAATATTGTGACCAGGTTCTCATGTCTTCACTGAATATGAAACAACAGTAAGACAACAGTTAGATTAGCGTAGCATAATAACTGAAAGCAGAGGTGAACAGGTAGCCTCTGTCTGTCCATAGGTTAAAAAAATAAACTAAATACTAGCACCTCTTACAATAACTACTCTTTATCTTGTTTGTTAAGCTAGCTCTGTCACCCTCCTCCTATTCTCTATGCTAAGCTTAGCAAACCCTATAACTGTCATTGTAGCTACATGGCCAGACATATGAGAACATGGTATACATCTTCTTGTCCTACCTTTTGAAAGAAAGAGAATATCAATGTTTTCCTCAATGCTTAGCTTAGCATAGGGAATGGATGCAGTGGGGCACAGGTACCCTAAACAAACAATACATAACATGTTCACTTGTGAGCTTTACAGGTGCTAGAAGTTCTTTTTGTTTAACTATGTTATTTGGCTAAGCTAAGCATCGCCGAGCTGTAGCTTCATATTAAAAGATAAATACAAGACGAGCCGCTGCTCAAAAACTTTGTCTAAAATGGGTAATCAAGTGCTTATCAAGAATATTTAACAAGATAAAACATCTGACCAAATATATAAAGAAAGATCTTGTGACTGACACACGGTCCCTTTTCTTCCAGTAGCCTATGTTCCGTTTGATAGCTAGCCCTGTTTCTGTCACTTGCAAATTACAAATACAACCAGTTCTATTGTGTCCTGGGTGTCCTGGCATACCCCATTGTCTCTAGTGTGCAGAACAGGACAAAACATACAGTAGTAAATGACTTCTATTGTATCCCTTGCTGCTGGTGAACGCTGGCTGAACTGGGCCAATGAGAACAGGAAACGGGTTGCTAAAGGCTGCCACAGGCTGGTCATCATTATGTCAGGAATAAGGTCACAGCAGTTCTGTCTGTGTGTGTGTCTGGGTAAGTGTGTGTGAGCGCAGTGGCCTCTGCGGACACTTCCAGTAGCGAGTCCAGTGTAGCCAATCAATGGTCTGACGAGTGCTTTGAGCTCCGGAGACAAGCCAGCCGTAACCACAAAGAAACACTGCATTCAGCAGTTATTTCTCACTCTTTCACCATCTCTCTCTCTCTCTCTTCCGTAAAACAAAAAAGTACTGACTCTTTGTTTTAATATGTTTTCAGATCAGTGATACTGGTAGCCACAAAATGTAATAAAATATGATGTTAACCATAGCACTCAGAGAATGTATATTTCCCTCTCAAGCCACTAAGCCTGTTAGATTATTGAAGTTTAGAAGATCATAATACATGTTGCGATATATATTTCTGCCTTGATCCATGGATCCAGTGTATTTCTTCTCTGTCTTTGTGTGTTCTGTTTATGCTGTTGTTATAATACAAAACAAATGTTGGGCAAGATTAGCCTTTATTGAAGAGTGACAGTGTTGAAAGGGGGATGATATGTGTAAATGGTTCCAGGCCGGATTGATCTCGGGTCCTCCACACGGGAACTGAGTCCCAATACATGTGGGAAAATGAATATGTTTTAAGAGGAAAAACACAAGAAGATAACCAGTTATGCAAATGTATTGATGGCAGCTATCATTGTTTTGTTTTCTTATTTATATTGTTTTCTTATTTATATTGTTAATATTAAAGGTTACGGGGTAAAGTAGATTAGGTGTACAGAAAACATACAAATACACACGCAAATGTAGATGATTGTAAGTTCATATTTTGGTATCCCCCCTGTTTGTAGAGAATAACATAGAACAAAAATATTTTATATGCTCATTTTAATATTTTATGCAGCTATTTTGGAGACGTATATATACGCTTGTGTCCTTTTTTTAGCAGAAAAAAAGGAAATGTTCAGGATCTATGAAAACATGTTAGGTATACATGGTTTATTCTGTCATTATACTCAGCTGTTGTAAACAGTACAACATCCCCGGTGGTTTTCCTCAGGCGATTTGGCTGCTCCCAGTGCATCGTGTACAGCATGTGTGTGTGTGTGTGGTGGTTTGCAGCAGTTCGGTAGCCCGGTGTGTGTGCTCCTCAGGTGGGCTGGCAGCTGAAGAACCTGGTCAACGCTCTGAGAGAAGACCCGTGTGGAGTCATTCTAACGCTGAAGAAAAGGCCCCAGAACACCCTGAGCTCCACGCCGGCTCTGCTCAGGAACGTGCGCTGGAAACCACTGGGCCTGCAGGTAAACACCAGCAACACATGGATGCCTTAAAGACATACTTTACCCACAAACGTAACATGTTACATCAATTACTCACCCAGTGTTACCTCGATTTCTTGAAGAAAAACGTTGTTATTAAAATCTTAAACAAAGTAAAGCCTTGATTAATTAAGATAAGATGTACTTGATTGATCCCAAATTGGGAAATGTTTTCATTGCAGCAGCATAAAGGACAAACAAACAAACAAACAGGCATTGCACATAATTAGAAATGAAAAGAGTAGAAATAAACAGTTCTAAAATACAAACATCTCAAAGTAGAAATAGAAATAAACCAGCATTATAGTAGAAAATATACCTAAGTAAGTAGTAAGCATACGACAGCAGAAGTTTTTATAAAGCGTTGTTTGTCAGGACCTCGACACAAACTGATGAACCCAAATGCACGACCCAGAGACAAAGTCTTGAATGTAACTAAATGTAATTTTAATTCCAAACATCAGGTAGTCCCTCTTAACAGAGTAGGTACTGGAATAAACAAAAAGCGCTCACAAGGAGGAAAAAAATAAACATAACAAAAAGAGAACTTGAGAAAAACGTAAGCCTACAAAATTAACAACAAAACAAAACCTGACATGAGTGAGAGCGATCCTTTCTGAGCTGAGACATGGCACGAACATTCGGGGAAACAAACAAGAAGAACTGACACAGGACAGGGGAGAGACAGGACTATTTAAACATGAGGTGAGTGGGAACAGGTGGAAACAATCAGGGGCGGTGCAGACACTGATGATGGCGGGGGGAGGAAGAAACAGGGCCTGAAATGAAAGACAAGAGGTAAGTACAAAATAAAACAGGAAATGGAAAACGAGACATGACAATAAACACTGAGGATGACAAGAGATGAAGGATCTAAATAAACAGACATGACTAGACGTGAAAAAAAACACATGAAAATGACAGACATAATATATAAACATAACTAACACATTTGACGAGACACAACATTGTTGTTGTTAAACTCGTACCCCATTGACTTTTTCCTGTCTACTTGGATGCAAGAAAATCCACATTTTCTTCAAGATTTCACGGTAACACTGGGTGAGTGATTGATACATGATCATTCTGAAGGTGAATTATTCCTTTAACTTCCACATCCTGAACTGAAGGTGCTAAACTGGCTCAATGAGATGCTGCTCACCCAACATGTGACAATGTATTTTCTGCTAACTTGTATTTAGCAGAATATTGTATCACTCTGCAAATTACGCTTGTCTTCTTCCTTTGTCTTTATCTTTGATTCGCTCTCAGGCAACTCAGGATTTTTACTGCCCATAATCTGCATTGTCCCACTGGCATTTTTAAACATATATTTCCAAAAGGAAACTTGTTCACTTTGTGACCTGGCATCAATTATCCTGTTGTGCATTTCAAGACATCTCTTATTTTTCACAGCCTGCTGTGTCTGGCACAGTTCAAAGTCATTCACAAAGTGTCTGTAGCTAAACCTCCATTTCAAACAGCAGAGTTTTATGCAAACCAAAGGAAATCTTTATCCAAAGAGATACATCGAGTTAGTGAAGGGGTAAAAATAGCTAATTTAATCTTGAAGTTGCACTTTGAATGATTTAAAAAGTACTATATTGCCTGAGCTCGCTGCTCAGGGCAATACAAGGTCACCGAAAGGTCCTGCCACACTCCCACTCACATTAATATTCATATTTACTGACACTTTGGTCCTAAATCATTCAACCTTTGCCCCAAAATGCATCTTCTTTTTTTGTCAGGGATTATATTTGTAATGTACTGTAGGTCTAAAAGTGGAATACAGTACTCATGTTGAAAAGGCTTACAGGTCAGAGCAGCTGTATGCGTAAGGGAGTCTGATGCTGTTTGTGCTTCCATGCTTTGTAAAGTCCTCCTTTACATGTATATAACAATGTAAAGCAGTATATTGGACAAAATCATGTGAAAAGATGTTCATATGAGAGACTTGTACATTAAGTTTAGACCATTTAGATCATGTAATAACCATAACATTTGCTGCAACTTAATCAACATCTCTGCCTCCAACAAGGTTGCTGCCTTGTTAGATCCCCGCTCTAGGTTGTTACCATCAGCTTATTGTTACATTTGCTGTGTGCAACAGCAGAGGATTGTGGGAACTCTACCCCTGATGGGCTGCTAAGACACAAATGCGCCGTTAGCACCGAGATCAGAGCGCCGAGATATCTGCGGGAGAAGAGAAGAAAGCAGACTTTTAGATTTGTTCTCTCTCGGAAAGACTGGAGCTCTTAATTATTCATAAGCAACTACAGGCAGCTCCACTGGCTCCGAAACAAGAGCTGCTACTCAGCAAATACTGGAGATAATGCACTGAATCCAAAATATCCTGCTAAACAGCCTGCGTGTGTGTGTCAGTGTCAGTGTGCACACATTTTGAAGCGCGGCCGTATGCACGCTTGTCCATTTGTGTGTGTCAAAGCAAGTGTGTTTCTGTGCGAAGGGATGTTTTTATCAGTCGCGTTGCTCCTTTGAGAGGCTAAGGATCTGGGTCACTGCACTCCTAAAGCTTGTTTTTTGATACTGTACGTACACGCTCTCAAAAATAAACACACGTGAAAACACATGCACTCTCATATTTCTAAGCCCGGTATTAGAGGATGAATTGCACGGCTGTGAAGTGTAGCACAAATGTGGCAAATGTTCAGCCGGATTATCACCGAATCCACAAAGGAAACAATTTATCTCTACAAATTATCATGTGATTCCAGCCCCAAATCCCTCCATGGCAACGTCCTTTATTCTACTCAATAATATCTCTCTCTTTTTCTCTTTCTGTGTGTGTGTTTGAGTCTACCGTAGGGTGGAGTCGAAGCAATTTAATGATCCACTGTAATTACTATGATGCTGATTGGTGTTGTGTCTGCTGAGTTGCTTTCAAATGTGCATCATGGCGGGGGTCATGTCATGCGTGATTGGAGGCCTCATCACAGGTCACTTCACTAGTCACACGTGTGCCACACATTGTCCATGACCTGGCTTTCATAAACCTGTTATATGTTTAGTTACATAAATAATTTATCTATGAAACTGCCTGCTATTTTAGGCAAAACGTGTTGTTATGACTTATTAATGGGCCAGCCAAATGAGTGATGTTTTTTATGTTTCTGACATTTTTTCTACAGTACCGGTACTTTCTTTTGGTCTACTTTTATGGCAGCTAATGCAACTTGACATGTCTGCCATTTCTTCAAAGATAAATGTTTGATCAAAAAAATAAGTGAAATTATAATATAAGTGAAGGTTCTTTTAGTATATCTTGATGAAGATCAGGAGATAGAAACAAAAGCCAGGGAATTGTAAGTAAATGGCCTTAAAGGAGAACTACACCCATTTTTTATTCATACATGCTATTTTTATGGTCTATAACAGTCCAAATATGTTTACTATACATTACAAAATCCAAGCCCTTGAGTGCTTAAACCTTCACTGAAACTGTTGATACCATCAAGTTCCAATACAAGAAATCCTTATTAGTACATATTTTAGTAACAACTCCTAAGGGGCCCTATTATGCCTTTTAGTTTTTCCCTTTCCTGTTGTTTGTTAAAAAGGTTTGCATGTAAATGGTCTGCTAAGGTTAAAATCCCCAAATGTCCCTCCAGAGGGACTTTCTCTCCCACAATCCCCCCTTGCCTGAAACGCGTCCATTGGACTCCTTTGTTTACTTCCACGACATGGGGACATCACGATGTAACACTGAGCTTCTATTAGCGCTCCAACACATTGTACGTGATTAAGGGGCGGGACATCTCTGAGCTGTTGACCAATCACAACAGAGCCGGTCAGCTAACCAATCAGAGCAGACTGGGCTCTGGTTTCAGACAGCGGAGGAAAAGAGGTGCTGCAGCACAGGCAGTATGAGAAAATAAAGCATGTTTTGAACATTAAAGCATGAAAACATGTCACAGTAGAGGCACAACATACACATATGAACCTGAAAATAAGCATAATAGAGCCCCTTTAATTCCCTCACATAGTCATGTAATATGTTATTGTATTATATCAATGAGTGCAAGCAAAGGTTGTGGGATGGGAACATTGGTGTGGAGAGGGTTTGAAGCAGCAGATTATTTTGGTATAGTTTGGAGTGGACGCAGTGGGGGTCAGATGGTTTAAGTCAGGGGTCTCAAACTCAAGGCCCGGGGGCCAAATCCGGCCCGCGACTTCATTTTATGTGGCCCTGCAAGAGCTTGCAAAGAATATAACACGTTTATTATACGGTTAAATGCCACTTTACAGAAGCAGGTTGCCCATAAACTACATGTCCCACAATGCATCTCGTTTTGTGACATGCGCACTGAAGAGACTTGCAATTATTTGCCCTGGACTTCTGCTTTCAGACGTAGTTAATTACTGAGTTATTATCCCATCCGATAATAATCCAATTCAGAGGCAATAATGTAATATAATACATTATTTTATATATATATATTGTATATTTATATAGGTACAACGGGCCCTTTGAGTGCAACCTTTATGCGAATGTGGCCCGCAATGAAATTGAGTTTGACACCCCTGGTTTAAGTGCTGTTTTAACAGACTGGAATTGTTCCTGCTGTGGAGGTCCCATCTATCTCCACTTCTACCCCCAACCCCCCTTTCCCATGCAGGCAGCAGTGGGCTGTAATCACTAAATTACTGTTTTCACTCTCGGCTCCAGTCACCACACTGCACAGCTCCCCCCCGCCCTACTCCCTCTTCCTCTCACTTGCACTCTTTCTCTCTGTTTCTCTCTCTTTGTCCTATTTCCTTTGCTCTGGCGTCCCTCTCTTTCCACCCGGTCTTCATTATTTATGTGAAGCCGTCTTACTGTAAGCTGCCTTCACGGGAGGAAGACCGCGAGAGAGAGGCAGAAATGAAGATAGAGACAGGGCCTGGGGATGGAGGTAGAGAGGGAGAGGGGCGGGGGGGTTGGATGGAAAGTTTGGAATATGAAATGAATTCGCCTAATGCACTTCTCATGAAATGATGAAACATTGGACTTTCTAATGAGAACGCTGCCCGCCTCGCCGTCGCTCCGGCTCTCTGTCTGTTTTCCATTCTGTCCACACACTCTCCTCTCTAAAATGGAGTGTGCTCTTCAAACAGTACAGTAAAAACAAGTAATTTGTCTAAATCTGAAATCCTCTTCCTCGGGCGAGTAATTGTCCGCGTGTTTGTCAACCGAGCTGTTCCTCAAGAGTAACACAAATTATTCACGTAAAAAATTGGACAGAGTTTCTGTGACATCAGAAGCGAGGCACCCTGTCCTCACCTGATGACACATGCATCTACGTGTCCTTGAGTCAGGCTGAGGTAGGAGGCCACGCTAGCTTTTTCCCTCCGCGCTCTTCTTCTTCTCTCGTAGCATCGCAGAGGGCGAGGAGAGGAGAGGTTGTCATGGGAACAGACATGGAGAGCCCTGTGTGAGTGAAGAGGCTAGAGACAAAATGACACAATAGTGAACGAGCGTTTGAACGTGGGAGAGGCTGCACATTCAGAATAATATAAAAAAAGACAACATACACAACATAGCAACTGTGGGGAAATAACTTTGATTCAGTGCTAAAACGAGTGAGGGCTGCAGTTTGAGGAAGAAAACAACAAATAAAATGTTTCCTTCGCTTATACGCCGTAAACCGTTTGTTTTTCTCTGGGGCAGGAAAAGATTTCAGGCTCAGTTTCTACAGATTTTGCTCCCAGATCCCCTCACCATGCCCCATTATAACTAACTGACAGTGGTGTACAGTTACTAAATACATTTAAGCACTGTCATTTAGTACAATGTTGTGGTACTGGAAATGTACTTGAATATTTATTTTTTCCTGCTACTTTGTGTGTCTCCTCCTATTAATTTCAGAGGCAAATATTGTCCCTGTTACTCCATTACATCTGTTTGATAGCAGTGACTTTGAAATGTAGATTAATTAATAAAAAACATAATCAACATATAATTTATGATGTATTATTATAGGTTAAGATAATCTTTTAAATCCCTTTGGGAAGTGTCCCGGTCATGTGTTCATTTTGCAGGATTTTTCTATATGTATACATAGTAACAAAAAATCCTGCAAAATGAACACATGCCTTAATAATTATTATACTGTATCATGATAACATTTATATTGTACAGAAAATAGGAAATAAGCTGGTCTGCAGAATGAGTACTTTTGGCTCGAAGTTTAACAACTGTTCAATGTCCCATTACTACTTTCACTTAAGTAAACATCTAAGTACTCTGCTCAGTGAAAAAGGTGCAAGTCATTCACCTCTTCTTCCTCTCCTCTTCCTCCCTTCAGCCGGTCCCCACCAGCCCCACCAGCACCTCCCCGACACCCGTTGGAACTCTAGGCATGTCCAAAATGGACGCTCCCAGCATGCAGGACGTCTACATCCTCTCCCCCGTCTCTGGACTCTACAGCACCAGGTAAGCACACACAGATGTTTGATGATGATGATGATGATGATGATGATGATGATGATGATGATGATGATGATGCTCTCTCCAGGGATGAGATGGGCTTGATGTCCTGCGACGAGATCAACCGCTACAGCGTTAGCTCCCAGTCCGGCTCCAAAGGTTCGGAGGCCGTCAGCTACTACCTGGACCAGGACAGTGGTCAGTACTTCTCCCTGCTGGAAGGAGACGGACCCCCGGGTTCTGACTATGACAGGACCCGCAATACGGGGGTTCGTAGGCGGGACAAGACCCCAACCCATGGTGAGATGGAGAGCGCAATTGAACAGTGCGAATGGGGCATTAACGGCCTGTGTTTGCTTTGTACAACCGCATGCTATCTCCCGCTACTCTTCTCACCCTTTTCTCAGAACTCCTTCCTTATGTGTTCATCATCTCTCACTTCATGGCTCAGCTTCTTTGTGTCTTTACCTCGCGTCCCAAAAACACTGATCACATGCCACAAAAGGTCAGTCCAAAACCACTGTGTCACACTTGTCCGAGAAAGCTTTTAGACATCCTGTATCGTCCTGGGAGACTCTCAAGGGGACCTATTGTGTGAAAGACGAGGGTCATGTGACTGACAGAAGTATTGGAAGACAATACGATTTTTTGGTAACCTTGATAGCTATAGGTCACTTGTATTGTAAGAAAGTGATTAGTGAAGTGGCACAGAACACAACTGGACTTGAAAGTTAATCAATAAATCTGTTTTTCTGTTAATAATGGTTCAATGACAATGTATTATACAAAAGGTTTGGCTCCCAATCCCCAAATCCACACAGAATCTGAAGGGTACTCCATCATGAAAAATAATGCATGTATTAACCTGTGAGTCAGACCAACTCCAATATAAATGGATTCTCCTTGCCCAGCACCAAGTTTCATAAAAATCATCCAGTATTTTGTGTTAACCGACTGAAAAACCAACCATACCACAAATATAACCTCTTTGCCAAAGGTAATTGTCATCCTCCGTTGTTTGGTGTAGGTATATGGAGATTTTAGCCTCTTTGAGGTAATTGTTTTGGATTTCTGTAAGCAAACTCTGCTCTTAATAAGACTATATTCAGTACTATTATTTCAACAATTAATGCTTAGGTGTACCAACTGTACGTTACCTGTCCAGCAATAAATTGTACAAAAACAAAGTTATGTCGCTGCTGAATAACAATATATTTCCCTCATTAGTCGCCGGAGACCAAAACAGAGATAAAACTAAAGTCAATATTCAACGTACACTTCGGAATCCAACACCTGTGACAATTTTTTTTTTGTAAAACCCTTTTATGTTGACAAGACGTGAAATAATATCTCACAAGTGGTAATTAGCTATCAATAAAACAATGAAAATAAGGCCGTGTGATCCCTACCTTGCACATCATAATTGAGAGTCTCCCGTTCCTCCCCCCTCAACTGCACACACTTTGTCTCACCTGTCCACCCCTGTCCAGCTGTCTCCCACGCTGTCTCTCAGTCACCGTCTTCCTGCGACACCCCCACTCCTCCCCCGCTTAGACGACTCTCTGATTGCTGATTGGTCGTTCCAGGTGACCTCAGACCCGTTTCCATGCCTCCCGAATATAACTGGATGGCCGAACCCAAGGAACCCAGCATGGGCAAGAGAGGGAGCCGAGGTACACACAAACACACACACACACACACACACACACACACACACACACACACACACACACACACACACACACACACACACACACACACACACACACACACACAGCCCCTCACACATATGAAAATAAAGAAACGGTTTGCGCTTTGCTCCATACTCAACACATTTCAGCTCATCCTCTGGTTTTCATGGTGTGGTTGTGTGAGGATACATATCAGCCAGGTAGGCCTATGTATCTGACAGAGCTACAAGGAAACATAAATGCAAGGAAATTGCATTTATACAGCTGCTCTGGAAATGAGGGAATTTCTTTTCGACAAATTCTAACCAGCTTCACCGTTTCGCAGCGAGCCTTGATCTGTATTCAACCGAGGATCCTCCACTCTACCATCAGAAAGTCCATGAATAACATTAAAGCACACAACTGGGGTCTGCCTTTCTCCTTCTCTCTCCTTCAGTCCCTTTCTCCACATTTAGGTAAATGGATAATAAACAAATTAAATAAGAAGCTTTTTCTATCTGGAATAACACTTTCTCTGACCGACAGGGTTGAGCAGTTGTGCCCTCCAAATCAGCATAATCATGGCAAACAGATTAGCTGTGTGTCCCCGGCTGGATCCATATCAGATGCTTCAGCTCTGAGGCCCTTTTATCCCTTTCTGTTGGCTTTTTATCTGTAAGGGTTTCATCTGACTCTACATTTGGGTTATCCCTCGACTTTACGACGCTTCTCCCCCGCCCCCCCTCCTCTGTGGGTTTTTCCGCTTTAAGTTGAGCCTGTCCGTCCTCTAACTGCTCCCTGCCTTTACCCCTCCTCATCCCCACAGATTCAGACAACTCCCTGCTGCGTTACCTCAGCGACGACAAGATCCTGGTGATCGAGGAGGAGCCCGAGGGTCCGGGCAGAGAGAGTCGGAGGGATTCCACCAGACGGTCTCGGCGCAAGAGCCGCAATCCCAGCAGCCCTAGCTTTCCCATCAGCCCCTCCATGCTGTCCTCCACCCTGCGCCTAGACCAGCCACCCGAAGCTTTGCCCGTATGTACACAGTCTGGGTTCTTTTACCTATTTTAAAATGTGTTTTTTACAGTTTCAATGTGTGTCTACTTGTGTCTGGTTAAGCTAGTTAGAAGTGGTGGTGGTCTGTATGTCTATTTTGTTTACACATGGATAGAGAAATGTCATGTAAAGGATAATGCTGGTTAGATTTTTTATGTCAACAAATCCCATAAAAATTACCAAAATCAACAATTATTTGATCCTACTGAGATGATAGATGTTGTTAAAACATGATCTACTTTATCTTATTCCTCTGATCTGTGATCTTGGAGCTCCATCGTTGTCCAAACATTATTAGATTTTACATTCACTTCAAATGTAAAATACACATTGCATTTGAAGTGAATTTGAACCAGTGTAAATCTTTAGATAGACAGGTGAATGCTTAGCTCCTCATCTTCAGTAAAACTATCAAAAATAAGGTTTCTTATTTAATGGGATGCACTTCTTGCATGTGACTGATACATTATCATATATTACAATGCCAATGTGTTAATACATTGTACTGTTGACCTGATCTAGTGGATCCCATGAATAATCAGAGTAGAAGTCTTATGACTATTTTGACAGGCGGAGTATAGGTAGTTTATCGTTTAATGTGTCATTTCTTGTTTTTTTTACTGCAGACATTTTGACTAACGCCAATTTGAACAATACCAGGACCCTCAAACTGAAGGAGCTAAATAAAATTCAGCTATTACTAATGCATTGTTTTCTACTAACAAATGTGAAACGGTCTGCTGTAGGAAAAAATATTACTATAGTGGCAGCTAAATCAACTTCAAGGCTTTTACTCTGACTCACTCGCACAACTTCCTACAAGTGCATATCCTCTCCGAAGGTTTGTGTTTGCAGCATAGTTCATGGTGTTCACAGATTCACACACGTTGTTGTGTGTGTCAGGTAGAGGAGACAAAGGAGAGTGAGAATGATCAGTGTCATTGCATGGCTGCCAGATTCACAGATTATGAGAATGACGGTGACACTCTGAAACACACCCCTCTGTAACTTTTCTCTCAAGCACACACACAAGAACACACACAGGCATACACAAACAGACACACATCAGCACAGTGGAGTGCATTTGCATGCAGGGTAGCCATCTCACGACTCATCCTAACTCATCCTAATATCCCCATCTCCTCAGAAACGCCTGAGTCTAAATAGGAGTTTATTCTGGACAAACACACATACACACTGGCATGCGCACATGCAGGAAAAACACGTATCCCTGTGAGTAGGTGCATGACTCAGCATCAGCCAGACCAATTACAAGAGCGACTGACCGACTGTGCTCAAAACAAGAGGCACGCAAACACACACATACACACATCAGCGCTAACAGCTTAGCTAACACCAGCCTCTCTAACCCTCTCAGCTTCTCATGCTGGTGACTCATATCTATTCGGTGGCACATGAAGTATACTATCCGGCACTAACAAGCATACGCTAACCTTAATGACCTGCTTGTTTCTTCTCCCTCGTCCTCTCTGCATGATTCTTTTCGATTAACATCAACATTAATGCAAAATAACATATTACCGATGGACAATTTATCGGGAAGTTTCATGTCTAGCAGTCCTACACATTTTGTAGAGCAACTAAGGCCCCTAAAAGTTGAGGTACCACTTCCCCAAAGCACTTTAGAACAAAGCAAAATTAAAACATTTCATATTTAATTTTTAATATTAATGGTGGTATTAAAATATTTTACTTCAAAATAGATTTTTCTGGTTGATGATTGAATCCTCTACAAAACCGCTTTTGAAAATCTATGCCTCTCTTAAAGGGACAGAGTTTGCCTTTTTACATGTATCAGAATCTCCCCAAACTTGTATCGTATTTTCATAGTTTCACAGAGAGGCATTTTGTAAAGCATATACAGTTTTTCACAAACACTTCTATCCATCTTTGAAATGCATACACTTAAATATATTATTGGTGGAATTGGAAAAGGGTTTGGGTTTGTATACAAAATAAAAAAAATCGAAATAAATAAAAATAAAGTTAGAACATAGTTTAGACATTTTATTATCAAGATACATCCCCTCTATATGATTATTAACAAAGGAAAGTGAAAGACTTAAATGAGGCATTTGTTCCCTTTTTCTCTCTCAGCGGGGTGCGGACACACTGCGAGCGGACACAATAGACCGGTGAGTCTGTGGTTGTGGTTGTTTGTGGTTTAACCACATGGATTGATGGAAGGAGTTGAAAGAGTCGTTTGTGGTTACATTTAATCCTGTGTGTTGTCCTGTAGGTACTCCGGCTCAGGGAGCTCAGGAGCCGCCTCCATGAGGAAGGTAGGAGAGCAGCCAGAGCCAAAGAGCTGACTGTGTATTTTTTAGATGTTTTATAGATCAATAGTTCTTAGTTACCTGATGTTTTAATAATGCTGCCTTTTTCAGTACATTTTTATTCTGTTACTGCATTTTAATGACGCAACAGAAGCTTCATTCACATTAACAATGAACTCACTATAAAAAGTTAAAAACTTTAATAAATATGGGAAAAGTCCTACAGATTCTAAGTTAAGAATTTGATTAGAAAGTGTAGCGTTGAAATGAAAAATCTCTTTTGCCGTAACATGAAGACTCTTCCACTGCTACATGGAGATGGAGTGTGTCCAAATAGTAATAATAGCTAAACATACAGTCAGGCAAAAATTGGAGAGATACCTGAGATGAAATCCATTGGGGACTCTGATAATTAAATAAAAGATAAAAGTCAGATGAGGTAAATAGCTTTCCATATTTAGGTTACAGGAAGCTGTGTTAGTCATTGGCCCTCGCCTCTCCTCTTAAAGCACATGAGTTGTATGAGCGTACAATGAGTCAGCGCCACTGTAAACAGATATTTACTCAGCTTTGTTACCTAGATAAAAAACCCCGAAGATGTATTCAGCTATGTTTTGTTGATACCTTTAGCGTCTACTCACATTAGCTTCTTCTGAAATGCAATAGTGTGAAATTCAAATGTGTTTGCAAACTGCACAATTATATTCTGTGACTTTGAATGGGGGGGGGGGTGCTAGTGAACTGTCAACGGGGGGAGCCTCGCTGCGGGAAAACGGTGGACCTCTGTCGCCTGTCAGCGCTACTTTAATGAACCGACCCGGCCGTTCTGTGATTCTCCAGATGGCCAGTCCGCCCCTGCCGGTACCGAAGTGGGCCGATCGGCGTTGGCCGAGTGGCCCGACCGGCCCACTTCGGTACCGGCCCATCGGGATTCGTCCAGATGGCCAGTCCGCCACTGTCTCCATCACAGGTTGTAGGTCATTTCCTGGCTGCAGCAGTATTACTGTTGTGATCCCTCTGTGCCAGTAATCCTCTCTGCTGTAGGCTGGATAATACAATAAAAATAAGCTAAACATGTACAGTGAACTTGCTACAACCTCTCTATGTACATGAACACCAACCTACAGTAGATTGTTTTTTTCCCTCTCCCTTCTAGTCTTTCCATTACACCTCTCTAAGAACGAAAACCAAAAAGAGAAGTAAAGGTAGGCTCATTTTCTCTTTCTTACCTTATTTTTGGCAGTTATACCACTGTATAGGTAGGAAAACGTTTCACCCCCAAAGTGTGTCTCAATCTAAATGTCTGAACTGTAAACTAACCCGGAAGCCTGACAATATAATGAAAAGTCCAGATGCACAGTTCTTGATAAAAAGTAATGCATGTGCTATTGCAAAACCATTGCACTTGCACAATATATTTTCTTGCAAACACCTGCCGTATTCGATTTATTCTTTACCTCTTTTAGATTTATCACTGTCACTGAATATTCTTGTGCTGTGGAGATGTGTTAAACATATCTTCAGTTTAGAGGAATTAAAAAGTTAACATCAGATTTTTCAAGAATAAACTCTAACTGTAAGCTACTGCAGACCTAAAGTCCAGAAATGTTGAATTAGCTTGCCTGGAACCGCTAGGTAAATGGTGAACCTCGTTTTATTGCCAAATTCTTTGAAAATGACTCAGTGTTAACAACGTTCTCTTCTCTCTTTTTAGGTTCCCTCTCTAGTGCCAGTAGAAGGAGAATTTCCTGTAAGGACCTTGGCCACGGTGACTGCGAGGGCTGGCTATGGAAGAAGAAGGACGCTAAAGGTTACTTTACCCAGAAGTGGAGGAAGTACTGGTTTATCCTCAAGGAGTCCTGCCTCTACTGGTACACCAACCAAAATGTAAGGAATCACATTCACGTCAATATGTCCTGAATCTCATCGTTGAAGTCAAACTCTGCAACACCTTCCTGCACCTGCATTCGGTTTTTCAAACTAGTTTTTTTTACAAAACAATCTTGCAACTGAAACAGATATCAACAGCTTTATTTATCTATAATTACATATACTATTGAGTTGCATAATAGACATTGTAGGATCCAGTCACTTGGAGCTTAACCCAGGTAATTGAATATTTGAGCCACTGCTGCTTACTTTTTATTGCATTTATTTTGTTCCCCAGCTTTTATAAAAGCGTTTATACATAAACATAAACATTAAACATAAAATAACAAGATTGCCAAGTCAACTGGTTAGATTCCAGCTACAGATTTGAGAAAGAAAAACACAAAAAAATTACAAAAGTACACAATATAAATATAGCAGTTCATTGTACATGTTGTTCATTATAGTTTTCACTGGTAACTGTTATAAAATAAATATAATAATGAGATCATTAGTCCAAACACATTTTTAAGGGTAACATTTCAAACCATTTTCATGTGTATGGAATTCATTCCGTGTTACTGTCATTGCTTTATTATGTAATATCACCGTTCACTCTCAGCTTTTGTATTAGGGCTGCAAGTACAGATTATATTTATTTACTTGACTGTAAACATGGAAAAAATCTAATTCTCACCTTTGTGAAAGAACCAACAATGTTTGCTTATTAATTGAATGTTGCAGCTCTGATTTAGATGTATCTTTTGTTGCAGTCTGTAGTAGTTTGACCTGATACAAGCAAAAAACTCACTGTTAAGACTTTAAGGTGTAGTTTGGATATCTAGATTAATAAACATATCTGCAAATTAGGAAGAAAAATATCTGAAAATGTATCGTAATGTGTTTCTATGCTCCAGTTTTAAAGCTTAGATAGTCAATTATAATATATCCTCATGTTAAGTGGGGAAAGAAGCCAATACAAACAGCATATGTTGTTTTCATAGGCTCGACTAGTGTACTGCTATCCAACATAAAAATTGGTACATCAGTATGTATGACATTTTGTTCTCTGTGTTGATAATGTACCACCACTCTCCATCTGTCTGTGCCTGCAGGATGAGAAGGCTGAGGGCTTCATCAGCCTCCCTGAGTTCAGAATAGACCGAGCCATAGAGTGCAGACGGAAATTGTGAGTGTCCCTCACATGTCGCCGAAATTACTAATCAACCACATTTGCTATCACCCACATGACATGCATGCACGCACACCTACCGCGAAAATCACTAATCAGTCTTCTTCTCCCCCCGGCTGACTACAGTGCCTTCAAAGCCTGCCATCCCAAAATCAAGAGCTTCTTCTTCGCCACAGATTGTCTTGAAGAAATGAACAGGTGAGTGTGTCTGACTGTGTGTTTGTGTCTTAATGTGGACGACAGTCAGAAGCTGGGGACGTCCTGTGTCCTTTCATGAATATTTTAACTGAGTAAACCAAGTTTACACAAGGCAACAGGCCACACAACACTGCGCATGAATAAGGCATGAACCCGGCCCTCTGTTGTTAAATGTGTAATTGTTTGTGTCACGTGTGTGCTCGTGTGACATTTTGGAGATGTTTACAGTATGATGAGCTCTAATTATCCTCACCTCTCCTCAATGACATGGGGCGATAATTGGCGGAGGGTAATTAGCTATATTTGACTTCCATGCTGCGCTCGGAGGTTGATGTGTGACTTTCATGTGCATTTTTACGTGTGATTAAGTGGGAGTTGATGGTATAGGCATCAGAAGAATCTCCATATATGTCTTGAAATGCATCAAGCTTACATCTGGATTTCTCAGCTTCTGGAGGCAATAACATCGGAGTGTTAGGCTAATATAGTGTTTGCAGCAGTTGCGATTGGAAATCCAAGCATACTTGGCCAATCAGCATCATTTGCTGCAGCAAGCTCCTACTTGATAGTCCCAGGGCCAATACTAATAATAGCATAAGAAGTACATTTACAGTCAAAACGCAGATTAAATACCTGAATTCCTACAGTGTAAAGGTTCCTGGGAACGTTTTTGCAGTGAAAAGAGGTATAACCTGTGGTACAATATACCCAACGTATGCAGACAGATAATAAGAAACCATACTAAATAAAATGAAAGACAAAAGTGATTCCCAAAACTGATTAAGATATCCTAAACTCTGGAATGCGTCCAAACTCAAAACTTCTCAAACTGTACTAAAACAGGAGGAAATACGCATTTTATGGGGACTACTTTCAGCGATGGATTAATATACATTTGTTGTACAACTGAGTATCTCTGGAAGCCGAGCTAACTGTGTATCTGGGATTATTCCAATGAAACTACAGTGCCGATGTTTATCTTCATGAAGGAATATTTTATGAGGCTCAAACCCCCTTGTTTTTCTGACAAAAGTTGAGTTTAATGGCAGAAAGGAATAAGCTACACCAGTTTATTATTCATTGTTAGTTTTAGTCTTTTCATGGGACTTTGTGACAATAAGACACATTGTTATAAATGTGGAAGCTGCTTCCTGTATTATGCAAGTTTCCTGTTCCTTGTGCACGGACTCTGCGTCTATTCTTAGCAGCGACCTTATTATTGGGTGTCTGCAGAGAGTCACGGGACAAGCCGGGATCTGACGGAGGATGGATGTAGAAAGAGAACACCATCTGAGACTCTGCTGAGAGTGGATGGGACAGAGGATTGTCACTTATCCTTTTCTTCATCCATCTCTCTAATTATCTCGATGCCTCTCTCTCCTCAGACAGTTATAAACCGTTCAGAGACACCCCTTCAATTATTTAAAGTGAACGTTTTTTTATATTCATCACTTACCACTTACCCAGTATAACCCATCCTTTTCTCTCCTCCTCTGTTACCTATCTTCTCCTTCCTCCTCACATGTTTTCCTCTCCTTGTTTCCTATAGGTGGATGAACCGACTGGGGCTAGCTGCCATCGGCTACACACCAGATGACAAGGTGCCACGCCCAGATGAAGGTGAGATGGATTCACTTTCCTAGATAAAACCGATTTTTGCCCGTCAATTGTAAACATTTGTGTTATAATCTCGATTTCAGACTACTGGAGTGAGAGCGATCAAGACGAGGTTGATGGCTCGATGACGCTCAAACAGGAGGGACCCTCATCCCTCTGTGACACATATCACCGCACGCCATCAGTAAGCACACAAACTCAAAATTTTCTTTGCAGTGTTTCATTCAGATGGAATATTTTATTCCTAAAAGCCCCACAGTTTTCCGAGCTGCAAAGACCAGAGCTCTCAGCATTAATAAAACATCAGAGTGTGAGAGTAAGCAGCCAAGATGATCTGATTTCTGCTGCCAGAATTTTTCTTAAATCTGACCTCTAGATGGCGTCAATTGCCAACGCTCATCACATCTCTGAAAGATAATGTAGCCCTGAACAGGACTTGTACATAAAGAAGGTCCAGTGGTACCATGTTTCCACAGCTGAGCCATACAACAGTCATTCTGCCATCTCATTGCTTTTTTTGCTGTCATCTTTTGTTCTCTTTCTGCCCTTTATATTTCCTGTCTTTCTTTCTTCTCTCTTTCCTTGCACACCTCGTCACTCTCCTTGTTTTGCGGGTCATGTTTTTCCTTATATCCGTGCTCACATTTCACCTTTCTGTCTGCTTGTATCCTCCCACCTGTCTCACTCACCCTTGGGCCTTCAGAATAACTTCCTTCACAGTTACGACCAGTTGCCCCGCTCGGTCAGCTCCATGAGCCTTATGCGCTCCACTCCGTCCCCACTCCCTCCATCAATGAGTGCCTCCACCTCCCCCATCCCTCCACAGATGGTCTCTTCCACCTCCCCTCTCACTCTCCAGGTGAACTCCTCAAGCCCCTTCCCAGAGCCCAAGCACGGACGGCACTTCTCCAGCGAGTCAACGCACTCCCACTCCTCGGCCGAGGACCAGCGTGGAGATGGTATGGGCATGGGCACCGGCAGCACCAGCACCCACTCATCAGGATGCCGCTCCACCCACCGTGAGAGGCGCTCCTGGCAGGACCTCATCGAGACCCCTCTTACCAGCTCAGGGCTGCACTTCCTCCAGACGGCCCCGGGGGAGAATGATTACGGGGGCCTGATGGGGAGCATGGCAGGAGATATGGGACTGTACGGAGGGCTGGGCAGACATGGCATGTCCCCCGAGAGACGCAGACAGGCCACGCTGCCCGTACGGAGACACCACGCCGCAGAGAGGGACAGGGAGCGGGACGGGCCCTTCCCTCTGGAGCGAGGGCCACACACACACAGCCACACACACCGACGCTCTCACAAGCAGCGCAGCCAGAGTCTGCCCAGGAACAGAGACCCCATGCCAGCTAAGCTGTTGCACACCCCGGCTCACATGGAGGAGAGGAGCGAGGACGAGGAGGCAGAGGAGCAGGCTGCAGATATACTCGAGGCTGAGAACGGTAAGGAAATTACACATAATCTGTTTTATACAAGGAGAGAAAACACTTGAGAATGCATGAAAAGGTCCCTATGGTCCTCAGAAAAGTGGCTTTTAAGTAGCTAATGTGCCATAAATTATGATTTCCTTAATTAGAGATGATCATAGAATTTACAGTACTGCATATTAACTTTGTTGTAATATTAAGAAATCAGATGTAAGCAGGGTATGAGTTGAAAGTGGAGCTGGCCAGGTTATGTTACACAGGTTATTGAGAGGAAACACAGCATACATTTGTCAATACATACAATGCATTAATGCTAAGAAGGTTTAATTTAGTCCGTGTTAGAGGAAGTATTCAGATACTTCACTTAAGTATATTTGACAACACTGTAAAATACTCCATAGTAAAAATCTTATCAAAAGTAAAAGCAATTGTAACGCAGACAAAAGGCCCTTCACTTTTCTGGTGAACAAAGGGGAACTTTAGCTTTACTTCTTAATGGAATAACCCGAAATAAGCATGTGTATACCAATTACTCACCCTGTGTTACCTTGAATTTGTTAAGGAGAAGTTTTTTTAATCAAATGCCCCACGATGAACAAAGAATCTGAAAATGGAGAAAAGTCTTGACAAATGTAAGTAAATAGGAAACGCGCCTCAACAACGAAAGTATATAAAATCTCCCTTTTTCAATCCCCTCACACAACTCATGCAGTACAATCAAAGTCTCATTTATCCAGCCTGAAGCAAGGAAGATACCATTTTAGATATTATTTGAAAGCAACTGTCCAAAATAACTTAAAGGGGACCTATCATGCAAAATGCACTTTTGTACGTCTTTGATACATTAATATGTGTCCCCGGTGTTCCAGCGAACTCACAAAGTGTCAGAAAACACAACCCTCTCTGTTTTCCTCCATACCCAAATCCCTAAAAACGGGGCTGCAACGGATCTGATACAGACTGATACAGATTTGAAAATTCTCTGACGTCAGGAACGAGGAGGTTCCTGACGTCAGAGAATTTTCAAATCTGTATCAGTCTGTATCAGATCCGTTGCAGCCCCGTTTTTAGGGATTTGGGTATGGAGGAAAACAGANTGTGCCTTGGCAGTCTCAGATTTGGTGGCAACAATGTGTGCATTTCATACAGATAATGGAGCAGTTGCTTATAGGGCCTCATATACAGTATAGCCCTTAAAGTCAAATAATGAGATCCTCCACCGACCCCCCCCCCCCCCCCTTCACACAGAGCCACCCCACATATCAAATCCCAATTTAACCCCTGGTTAGATCTATATATAATATTCAGTAAAAAAAACCTGTGTAGTATCTCATTATCACTGCTGACCTGTGGTTGTGAAGCAGCAATCTCCTGGGCCACCGGCTCTGGGGGGGGCTTGGAGGCGAACAGTGAAGACACCGAGGCGCCGGTCCACTGACCAGCAGAATATACCTTCTTACCCGTGATCTTGGGAGCAAAAAGACAATAAATTGAATTAAACTTGATAACAATTTGCTTTTTTAATGCCATTTGGCAGTCAGCGCATGAGACACAATAATGTTACCTTAAAAACAGCCACAGTTTGAGCGGGGTAACACACTGAGGCTCCGGCAGTCATCAGACCCAGAGGAACGGCTACCCTCTTGAGTTGAGAGCCTGAAATACAGTTAACAATTACAATCAATGTCACTGAACACATGGAAAAACTAAACGTAATTTAAAGTACGGCCTTATAAGGGCCCTATTAGGCTTTCTGGGTATTCCCTTTCCTGTAGTGCGTTATATAGGTTTTTGTAAATGGTCTGCAGAGGCCATAATCCAGAAGAGGTCTCTCTCCCACACACTGCCTGAATCGCCTCCATTGGACTCACTAGTGACATCACTATACCACTTGCTCTTCTATTTGCTAACGCTCCAACAAATAGTACGCTATAGGCTAAGGGGCAGGAAATATCTAAGCAGTTGACCAACCATAACAGAACCAGCCGGCTAATCAATCAGAGCAGACTGGGCTCTGGTTTCAGACAGAGGGTGAAAAGAGGTGCTGCAGCACAGGCAGTATGAGAAAAATAAAGAGCTTTTTGAACATTAATGTGTGTAAACATTGTGGTGTATGAATGCTGATAATCGTTGACAACTGCCGAGTCAACCAAAGGTCAATGTGCATCCAGTGAAGACTGTGCCATGGATGCACCTTCTGTATGAAAGAGCTGTTGTGTGTTATCCAATTGATTGAGATTACATCTGAGACTTGTAAGCAAAATAAAGAAGGTATGAATTATTTATAAAATCTTAGGTTCACCCGTCCGTATTCAGGGTGGCATGGTGACTCATTTTGATGATTTGTTATGTACATCTGTTACGTTAACACACAGCTGCATGGGGAACATTTCATTCTAAGAGGCATTAAGCTTGCATACAACTACTATAATGCAAGGCAGAGATTTGTTTTTATTCATGTAAAATAGTCTGTTTCAAATACAACAGTTATATCAATGCTACATACAGTAACAACAGAAAAAGTATTACAGATTAATGTATTGTTTCCCAGTTAATCAGTGTACAAATATAAAAATAAATATATCACATGTTTGCCTATAAAAGGAAATAAATGTGGTAACTGTGGTTGGTTTATCATGTCATATTTCTGTGCGCGCTAATACGGAGGCAGATTCATTGATTTCATAACAATGGTTCCTAGAAAGCTCTATGTATCCTCGAGAGTCACTCTGGGTCGGATTACCTTTCCGTGCCAAGAACATGCCAAGCACGCCGGCCATGGTGATGGTGCCAAATCTGGGAAGAAGTTCCGGGGGAGGGTCTTTCAAATAATAGTACGCATCTGGGAGACACAGGAGACAGTGAGCATGGGGATAACAATTCCCTACATTTCACAATTCTGAACGCCTGTCTGATTTCCTGCTCATACTGTCATTATATACTTCAGAACATTGGGACATTGGGTTTTGTGACGGTTGCTACATTTAGGAATGATATATATATATATATATAGAAAATACATACATATTATATATACACAATGTAATAAAAATGTATATGAAGATAAGAAGTTAAAGTCAAAATGTGCAACAGAAAAATAAAATAAACCAGATTAGAATTTTTTTAAGAAATTAAAGTCAAAAAGTAAAAAGAAAACTGTATACATTATACCATAATATAATAAAATATAAAATAAAGAAATATAAGATATTATAATACTATTTAATATAATATAATATAACATATTATAATAAGATATCATATAATGTAATATAAATTAAGATAATGTAATATCACATAATATAATACAAGCAGTGGTAATAGTGTGATTTGCAACATAAATAATAATAACATTAACAGTAATATTTATATCTAGTATCTTTTCTTGGGTTAGCGACATAACAGTACGAATGCCACAAAGAATCCTTCACCATCACATCACAGTAAGCTGTTTGTGATTATAAATAGTAACATTATGTACTGTAACATTAATTAATAAAGATTTGATTGAATGAGGCCATAAATAATTAGTTAAAAATGTGGGATTTGTTTTCAAAGGGCGTCAGAACAATACGTTCGTTAAGGGCACTATAAGTGATGTTTCAAGTTTCAGGAAGGGAGAATATTATTTAATATACATCATATATGACACCTTAAGGTTCCTCCTGTTGACTCACCCTGTCCTTTATGGTATAGATTTACACTTTTTGTTTTCACAGAGATGCAGGCACCCTGCAGGGAACAAAGGAAAAATAAACCGCTACAACAGGACATGAAGAACAAAACTACATCTGTATCAGCCTGAAGCGGTTTTTCCCCATCTTCCACAGAATCAAACTGCCAGATCTCTTCGCAGCAGAACTTGCAGCTGCTGAATTAACTGCACACACACTACAGTACAGAGTCATACGTGCCTCATACTGAGCCCTCGCAGCATGTGGGAGTGAACGGTGTAACCACAAGAGGAGCGAAAATCAGGACACTAACACTGCAGATGCAAGATAAGGCCTTTTGCAAAGTATTCTAGTTTTTCCCTTTATAAAACACTTATTTACATACGTCAAATGGTTGTTCTTTTGTGGGGTGTTGAGTGTTAGACAGGATGTGAAAGTATGTGTTCATTCAGCAGCAGATGTTGTGTGGGAAAATTAATATGTTCTCAAAACGGCTGAAGGTGTACACAAGAAAATGGAAATACCTTCACAGCCTGGACAAAGGGTCGTATGCCCTGTCTGGCTGTAGTTAACCCATTCTGTATAACACCGGGAGTCTCTGGGACAAACAGGGCCTGAGCAAACATTGGCAGCGGGGTGTAGATGTTCAGCTGCGGACAGAGGGAGTGTCAGTATTTAGATGTCAATTTCAACAGTTTAGCTCTCTCATATAAAATCATCTGATTCTTTCTAGAAAAGCATACCCTTTCTCGAGTAAGCAGTCCATCAGTGGGCGCTTCGCTTACAGTATACACACGGATGGAGGCTATGCCCATCACCGTCGGGACGGCCAGCATCACCACCTAGGAAACAATGAAAGTTTACAGCTTACCTTAAAATATTTCAACACACAGTAACACAAACAACAGGCAGACACAAATCACTCATTGACAGATGAGTGAGAGAAATGATCAACATGTGTAAAATAGCTAAACCACAAACTTGCTATTTTAGGACTATTACTTTTGAAGTGTCAGTGTTAGGTTAACTTAAAGTGAAAGTAGAAGGACCAGAGTTGAGGAATGCTCTTTTATAAGTAAAAGTCCTGAAATCAAAATGATAATCATGTAAAAGTAAGAAAGTACTGTCATCAAAATATAGATATTATAGACTCATTATGCAAACTGTCCCATTTTAGTTTAATATGAACGATATGTTTATTTATAATTATTGATGCATTCATGTGTTTATCACAGCTGGAAAGGACAGTCTCTTTCCAGGTTAAGTGTTGTTGATTTCACATCATTCATCTGCAAAGTAACAGTGGAGTAAAAGTACACGAAGTACAGAGTAGCAAAAAATTGAAATACTCATACTCAAGTCTCTCAAACTTGTACTTAAGTACAGTCCTTGAGTAAATGTACTTTACATCTGATAACTTACAACTGCCTACTAGCTGACGTAATTGTAATGTTTCCTTTGCTTGGTCAAAACCGTCTATATTGCAGACAACGTCACGGCTGACACATATTGTTTGTAACACATGCAGGTAATATAAATAGTGTGAGTACTGCTCAAACTGCTGTCTGCTAACGTTAGTAAACGCTGTCTAGTTAGCATTGACTCATTCAGCGAGGCTAGCACAGTTAGCAACAATGTGTCCATGCAGCGCAGTGTTAAAGGTTTTAAAGTGACACTCAGTTCAAGGTTGCGTTAACGACTCCGGGTCAGCTAATGTTAACCCCACACACGCTCATTCTTTACAAAATATACTTTGACGAAGAGGAAAATGTCAAGCATTCACCTTGGCCGCCATGACAGCGTTCCTCCTTCTTCTGCAGGCTGAGAGAGACGCAGATCCAAAGACCGGGTACTACTGACTCCTGCCGGGCATCAGCGGCACCTGCAGCACGTATTCTCAAACCAACAACAGTATGGGTAATCAATGTTGTTTTGTAAATCTTTGTGTAATTAAAACACAAAATATATCATTTCGTTTTTATTAACATTTTAAAAGACATTTTAAAGGATTAAACTGTCACTGCAGTTCCACATGTAAAGCAATTGTACATGATGTGCAGTGGTTTATTATGGGCAAGGCAAAACAGGTTCACAGGGCCCCCAGACACAACGGACTCTAATAAGCCCCTGGTTCACAGAAATCTTGACGGTTCTCATTAACTTGTTAATTTGTTATGGAATTGAACCAACTTAAGTATGTTTTAACTTTTATTTGTGCATTGTTTTTCAAAACGGCCAGGCAGCGACAAAGTAAATAGAAATAAAATACATGTGCAGGTGAAGTAGAAACACACTATGGCCTCACACAAGAGGGGAAAATATGGGGAGAAAGAAAGAAAATGTGCAAAATGTATCAATTAACATGCAAACCCTTTACATGCCTAATCACGTTGTAAATCATAATTAGCTGCTAAAGAAAAAAATAGTACAATCTTAACAATTTTTTTTGACAAAAACAACAAATTGTTATGAAAATATCAAATTATTCATTTTTCGATTTTGGATATAGATATGGACATGGATAATCATTTGTAGGCCTACTTGTCGTATTTTTACGTACACTTTAATTGGAAATCTGCTTCTTGGTTACGTAAGCACATAAAACACTCTAATGCTGTCTCTATCAATCCAAGAAAAGGTACACATAAACAGATCATAGCTCGTAGTGCAGAGGATTCAGTTTATTGAAGTCAAAGTTTAACAACTTAAGTTTACAATCTGTATTTTTTGTAATATATATTCATATATATGAAACCAAAAAAGGCTACTTTAGGAAGAATAAATGTCATTTTCTTTCTTTTTTAATATCATCTTTAGTCAGTTTAATGTACAGAATAACAGTAAGCTAATATTATCCTTGAAAAAGAGCAATATGTTCCTTTTTTAATGTCGCAGTGCAACTTACATCTTACACACCTGTGCAATGTACCATGAGGTGTACACCCCTGAAAGAACACACAGTGGAATCTCCCTTTTCGGCCTGTTTCTGCATGTCTACACACACAAAGATCTGGGGAGGAATAACAACACAGTCTGCGCCTACAAATCATAACCTGCACTTCCTAATCTACAGTGTGTGTCGCCTGCTAAGTGGAGCAGCGGTTGATGAAAGAAAACCACTACAGATGAGAAGTGGAGAGAAATCTGCAGACTGAAACTGTTTTGTAACTCTTCTCCAGCTGTGTGTGTGTAGGGTCGCCAGTATAATCAGTCCATCGTTGCCAAAGAGAGGGTTGGGAGGCACAGGGAAAGTGCTTGCATCATTTAGTTTTCTTTGTGGTACTCTCAAATTAACCATTCAAAAAACATGAGCTATATCTCTGGGGTGAGTTTGATAGTTCACGACAGTGTGACATGATGAAAAACCTGAACCTACGCTAAAGAACTACAGTAAAGTATGAAGAATAAGTACAGATAGTGCTGGATGCAGCAGGTGTTATGCATGTCTCTCAGAGTCTTCGACACCGTTGAGTCCTTGGCCTGATATTGCAGATGAAATGGTTCATCTGGGTTTTACAGACATTACAGACCATTTAGTGTGGAGGGCTTTGACCGCTCAGGTTCATATGCTTCGAGGGAATGTCAAAATAGCTTTCGTTTCAACTCAGGTAAGATTCTTGCAGTCTATTGGTTAGTGTCAGTCTTTCTATGTAAAACAAAACCTTAAATCAGGAGCCTCCTGGTTAGGATGCTAAAGGAGGACCTGCATTAGATCAAGTAACCAAGGAGCAGAAAAATGCTTGCCTCAGCTATTGTACAGTGTGTGTCTTCAAACACTATCGAATGAAAAAACAAGAATACATACAAAGAAAAGGTCATTCTTCAACAGTACTTTTGCATGTATCATGCGCTACAAGTCTAATTATCTTGCAATCATGAGAGGAAGATAAAAAGGGGAGAAAAAAAACAAATGATCCACAATTTTTTACCCTGTCCAATCAAATCAGTCCCGGGACTTTTCTCATGCAACACATCACCAGGAGAAGGGTCAGCCGCGATGTAAAAACTGTCAATGATGGTGGTGTTGTTGTTCTGCCACCCTGCGTCTACAGAGTGAAGAGGGGAACACTGCAAAACCTTGGCATAGAATACATCATACTTTACATTATATCTATGACACAAAACGTAAATAGATTTATATATTCTTCTATGTTTAAATATATTTGTAGACTGTACACAAATCTTTAGAAAATGAGACGGCAAATGCATTTACCTGATATTTTGAACAGCAATGGTAAAGAGGCCGATGAGACATAGACCCTGTGATGCAGCCAATGAGATATAGAGATATAGAAAGTGCATTCTTTGTAGTGAGTGACTCCTTTGAAAATAACTCTCTAGCTCTTGCATTCGCTGTTTAAAGGAAAATAAAGGAAAAAAAAGAGAAAGGAAAATTGTTTTGCACCCACGCAAATACATACTCTCTGTCTTCCCTCCGCTACCTCTAGAAGCATATCACAGTGGTAGTGGAACGCAAACATTTACATCAGTATACAAAGCAGTATACACATATACACAAGTCTTTGACGACTAGAGAGAGAGAGAGAGGAAATAAAGAAAACATGAAGAGGAGGTGGTGGACAGAAACACAGAGGAAAATAAAAAAAGGCGGGTAGAGAGGATGCAAACTGAAAAGTTCAATTGCACTCAGTCAGAGGAGCCTCCTTCCGCGGATAAAATTGTTTCTTTTTTTCTTAACAGTTCACAGTTTGAAATAGTGTGCAACTAGCCAGTACAATAGGTCCTCAACGTTTGTTTTCACCGGTTCCCAGAGGGAGCCAGATAAACCAGCATTGACGGCTACTTTTCACAGTCTCAAAAGTCAACGCCCTTACTTTCCCCTGCACTGTCCTATCAGATCAGCCTGGAATAACAAGTGAGGTCTCTGTAAATCAGCGAGATATGCAGTGAGAGAAAAAAAAGATTGAGAGAGAAAGGGGGAGAACTGGTGGCTCTGGGTGCAAAGTTCATCAGTACAAAAGTACAGTGCTGTGGTGAAAAGGATTCTCCTCTGTATTGCTGCTACATAGCTCCCCCTGCCCCCTAAAATCAATAGGAAATAAAAAGAGATGAAACCAAGAGAATACAAAGTAACAAACGTGTTAAAAAGTTTCCTTTTCTTCCCATTTTGCTCGACAAGCGTGTGGTGTTTATGCTGAGTTCCATAGACAAAGGAAGATTAATGCTTTCTGTTCAGGCATGCAATAGGCACCCTGTGAGGGTCCTCAGGATTATCAAAAGTTCATACACGCAGGTCTCAGACTGTTCCCTCTATGATATTTACACATCTTACAATGTGTGTACCTGTGTGTGTGTGTGTGTGTGTGTGTGTGTGTGTGTGTGTGTGTGTGTGTGTGTGTGTGTTCGAGTGAGTGCGTGCTCAGAGTCTTGATCAGGAGAGAGGACTCAATGTAAAGCTCTGTGTGTGTTTGTGTGAGTGTGTGTGTGTATGTATCAGTTCAGTCTTTGCTCCCCTTCTCTCTTTCACACATGTGTCTCAATAAAGGAGTGTGTGTGGGTCATAAGAGGTGGGGCCAGTGGGGAGAGGTCGTCCTGGCCGTTGGTGCCGCCGGGGCTGAGCTGGCAGATGTCTGAGTAGAGATCGCTGTGCCACTGCTTCCACTCTCTGAAGGTCTGGGAGCACAGGCCAGGGTCCTCCAGTAGCGCACAGATTACTGCCAGCTCCGACTCTTTGGCCTGTGGGGAGCAAATAGACAACAAGGAGTGACAAAGTTGTATCGTTCCAGGTGTAATTATTCTGTAAATTCCCAAATAATCAAGAAGGGTCTAGCTGCAAAGCCCCAGGTTCAGGCCACATGCTCCATTGAACACTTTTGGTTACGCATCGAGAAACCATGTACGCAGGTGACAATCATGAGGATATGATGGCATATGTTTAAGGTTAACAATACCACCTTGTGTTTTTATCTTATAAAGTAGGTAACGTTATGTTAAGCAGGAAATAACTTACCGACCTAATGAATTGAACATTAGCTAAAAATGCTAATTCCGCTCTTAAACTATGAATGTTAGTCAACTATGCTAATTCAGCAAGCAAACTAACATTAAAAGTGCAATGTTAATTTCAGAATCAACTTATTCAAATAAATAGTAGGCATAATTTTCACCTGTAAAATATACATTTAAAGGTAGGGTATGTAAGTTTGAGAAACCGGCTCGAGATACATTTTTTGTTATATTCCATAGAATGCTCTTAACATCCCGACAGCAATGAATATCTTAAGTGCTTTGGCAAAAAATCCAATAAAAAATGTCATCTGTGGAAGCCGTAGTACTGTAAAAAGCACGACCAATCATTTTAGCCGGCCCGGCTAAAATAACTGGATGGCCTACCTGCCTGTCAGCCTTCCATCTGTGCACAAACTTATCTCGTGCCCTCATTGGTCATGTGCGCGTTCGTGTGTGTTGGAGGAGGGGCTCTGTAAGGAAGTGGCAGATTTTCTCCGGTCGTGTTCAAATTCTAGCGATCTCGAGCCGGCTTCTCAAACTTACATACCCTACCTTTAAAGTGTATTGTTATTAACAAAAAGCCTAGCTTCTAGCTAACAGAAAAGCAAGAATACAATTCCACCAGTGCTCAAACTGACTACACCTCAAAATATACTATCTTATAATTGTCACGTATTGTGTGTTGGCAACGTTTGCAATTAATTAAAAGAACAAATCTTAAAACAAGACACGGACCACGTGAATTATTGACCAGCCAATCGGAGCGGCTGTACTCCTTCTCCCTCTGTTTGAGGACTGACTGGCACTACAGTTAGCATACTAACTTCAGTGCATATCTGCAACACAATACAAAGACGTTGATTTAAAATCTTATTCTGACATATTTTATACATTATATATTTTTTTTCCCCTGGTGCTAAAATGTATGTTAGTTTTTGCTAACGACATCATAGCTAGCTAACATTAGCTTAAAGGTGGGTTGGTACGTTTGAAAAACCGGCTTGAGATACACATTTTGTTATATTCCATGGAATGCTCTTAACATCCCGATAGCAACGAATATCTTAAGTGCTTTGACAAAAAAAGGTAGCCGTAGTACTATAAAAAGCATGACCAATCATTTTAGCCGGCATGATAGGTTTGTACAAGTTATTTCCTGCTTAATGACATGTTAACATTTGGTTTGTAGTTTTCTTTGTGGTTTTTAGTTAAGGTTGTGTGGCTTGGTGTGATACGATGGACTCAATATACGCTCTGTAGACTACTTTACTTATTAAGGATAAGCATGGTAAAGCAATTTACTGCACAATATACTACAGTTGCAATTCAACTAGTATGCTAAGAAGCGAGATGGGACCCAGCACCGGAGTTTGGCCTAAGCATGGAGCTCTGCAGAGGGACACTATTGTAATAATCTGTGTTTGTGCTACCTTCAAGGTGCTGCGGAGGGCTCGGACCCGGTGCAGCCTGTCGTTGAGCAGAGGGTCCCTGGCTCTCTGTGTGAAACAACGTCGAAACTCCTGCCTGCTACAGGGTCTTGAGTCCCCTAGGGCCGTCACGTTGGCTTGCTCCAGGGCCCGGTACAGCTGCTCTAGCCCATCCAACGGTTCCGGCTCGCGGCACTCTGACACCCGCCGCTCCCTTCCCTCAGACACCCTCCTCTCTCTGCTCTCAACTCTCAACTCCCGCAGGTCGGAGACACCCAGGAGAGGAGTCAGATTCACTGCTATAATGACACAATGAGCTTCAGTTGGATTAAGTGTGTGAATATAGAGCTCAAATAATCAATTATTTTAACGGCAACCATCCTTATAATTGATCTTCATATTCATATTCATAATATATTCATATTTTCAGCCACTAAAATGTCCCAATGTTGATGGTTAGCTGACTATTAAATTGGACCTATCATGCTATTTTTGAACAATATATTGTAGGGCCATAGCTATATAAATATAGTTTTTTTTTCAAAATACCAAACAGATCCTGCATTTTAGCCATGCCTCATTTCGCTCTATTTGCTCTTTCCAGCGCTGTTTATGCAGGGGGCTGATTCTGTGAGCTGCAGCTGAGCACGCCACCCTGTAGGAGAGGGGAGCATGCTTTGAGATCAGCTGCTAGGCTGCAGCGGGGGACAAAAAGAGATCTCCGTCCTCCGTGTTTTATTCTTATACAAGTAAGAAGAGAAGTAACGGGGCAGAAACCCTCCTTTTTACGCAGCGGTCCAGACATAGACATCAAACGGCAACACATATTCAGTTGGCAGTTACTTTGGCATTAGGGCAGGGATATCTAGATACTTTCCAAGGTTTGACATAATGAATTGTGCTACTTTTAAAGCAAGCAACGATGTTTTCATATCTGTAATCAAAAAGCTCCTCAAAAACACTATGGAAGCAGTTCCTGCCGTTGCTACGTTAGTTCAAACAGTAGCAACGTACTAGTTTTCTTAGCGGATGCATGTCAATTTAAATCAATACATACAACTATTTTTTTAATCAATAAAATCATTTTATAAATCCATAAAAGCATTTCAATTAATATTGGGAGTCATATCGTTTGCATAATGTGCCTTCATCGGTGCTCTTTTCCCCATAATGACGGCGTCGCTGCACATTATCCCTTACATATGGATTATATAGAGTCATTATTCATTTGTTTTAAAGCNAATGCACACATTGTTGCCACCAAATGACACAATAAAAATAGAAAGTACTAAAAATAAATTGGAATTAATTTACATCTTAAATTATTTATGTACACACAAAAATGCTTACAAATATTCAACCTTCAAATTGCTTTTTTAAATCAAAATTGCTCTGCACACTTGCTAAAGAACGTTTATGTGGAAATCTCAGTTCATTTGTAGGGCTGCGAGATTATGACCAAAGTATGCTGTACATTTCACTGTAAACCATTGAATCATCACCAAATTCGGTGTTATTGCAGTGGCGGCGCCAGAGATTTTCTCTAGGGGGTGCTGTGGGGTAGCTTGACGTTTCATAGAGGGTGCTCAAACTTTAAGGGTTTCCCATTAATGCACCAGCGCTACAGTTGAATTTTCTACGGCAGCAACACCCCCCACACGCACACACAGTGTACCCGCGACTGTTATAATGAAGGCTCGGTAATCAGCTCACGGCATATAGGTGTAAGCAGGGGTAAAGGGCTATTTTTACAAGTGGGGAGTGTGGACCTCACCTCCTCTAGGAGGGTCCTCACCTCCTCTAGTGGGGTCCGGGGGCATGCTCCTTTGGGAAGATTTTTTTTAAAATATTGAAGCTTTTAGCATCAATCTGGTGCCCTTTGAGAGCAAAATGAAGAGATCTATGGATACATCTCTCAACATACATATGAAACAGAACTGTAAACAGATTTACTATTTCTTTATAGATATTTTACAAATCACTCCCCTTTTAAAACAAACCGTTTGAGACCCACTGAGATAACTAGACTAAAGTTAACCATCTAAACACAGAGTCCTTTACTTCACCTGAGCTGAGGTTATCTGAGACTCAGTCTGACAGGAGAGAGTTCTCCCTCCACTTTGTTGTTGAAAAAGCTCCTTATATCCGTTAGCTTGGCTAGCTAGCACCAGATGCTAACCACAACGATCTCCGGTAGAGACCCACCGGTGCTCGCGCACGCACACAAAATGGCTCGTGCCACACACACACAGAGCAGAGCTTGAATGAAAACACAGAGAGCCAGAAGTAAGCTACTTGTACTCACGAGGCCTATTATGTGCAGAATCTCTCTCGCTTTCAGGTGGTTTTGATTGAGTGTCTACACGTGGACGTTTAAAGGACTAAAAAACGTAGGTTTGGGATTGGGCCTTCTCTTCACGGCCAGCCTTATCCTTTTTAATATTTTGATTCATTTTCAGAGGTTGGAGAAGTACTCAGAAGTTGTATTTAAGTCAAAGTATAGTAGGCTACCAGAGTGAAGGAACACTCTTACTCTTGTACTTAAGTAAAGTACTTGAGTAAATGTACTTAGTCATTTT